CCCCGGGCAGCAGCAGGCGGACGGCGGTCTGGATCTCCCTGGAGGTGATGGTGGAGCGCTTGTTGTAGTGAGCCAGACGGGAGGACTCACCGGCGATGCGCTCGAAGATGTCGCTCACGAACGAGTTCATGATGCCCATGGCCTTGGAGGAGATCCCGGTGTCGGGGTGGACCTGCTTCAGGACCTTGTACACGTAGATGGCGTAGCTCTCCTTCCTGCTCCTCCTTCTCTTCTTGCCGCTCTTGGTGACCTTAGACACGGCTTTCTTTGAGCCTTTCTTCGGGGCCTTGGCGGGTTCAGGCATGTTCTCGCTCAGTCAGACTTCCTCAAACGGATAAACTCACAGCGAGTGAACTCCCTCTTTATATGCGCTCGATGCAAATGTGACTTTTTTTTTTTTGTGACTTTTCACTACTTTCAAAGTTTTTCATACACGCTAGCTTCATTAGCATTAGCAGTTAGCTATGGCTTCTCCCTCTTCCTCTCCTCTGTCCTGCTCAGTGTGTCAGATGTTCAGTTATTCCTCTGCCTCCTTTAATGACGATGGTACCTGTATTAAATGTAGTTTATTTACTGCGCTGGAGGCTCAGTGAGTTAGAGGAACGGCACCGCACCACGGAGATATCTTTAGCCGCTATAGTTAGCCAGCCCCCAGCAGCCGGTGCAGTCGGACCGAAGGTAGCTTCTGTTAGCTCTGTAGTTCCCCCGGTTGTTCCCCCGGTAGTTCCCGAGCAGCCGGGAAGACAGGGAGGCTGGGTGACTGAGCGAAGGAAGACTAGAACGGCGAAGCCCACAGGTCACCACCAACCGCTTCACGTTTCTAATACATTGTCCACCAGCGATACACCCGCTGAGGAACCAACTCTGGTTATTGGCAGCTCCATAGTCAGAAACGTGAAGTTAGTGAAGCCAGCGGCCATAGTTAAATGTATCCCTGGGGCCAGAGCGGGCGACATTGAATCAAATTTAAAACTGCTTAAAGGTAAACGTAAATACAGTAAGATTGTTATCCACGTCGGCGGTAACGACACCCGTTTACACCAATCGGAGGTCACTAAGATTAATGTGGAGTCGGTGTGTAACTATGCTAAGACAATGTCGGACTCCGTAGTTTTCTCTGGACCCCTCCCCAATGTGACCAGTGATGACATGTATAGCCGCATGTCGTCATTCCACCGCTGGCTGTCGAGGTGGTGTCCAGCAAACGATGTGGGCTTGATTGATAACTGGAAGCCTTTTTGGGGAAAACCTGGTCTGGTTAGGAGAGACGGCATCTTATCTAGGAATATGGCAAAGTTTATCTCTAAAACCTGACAGTCCAGAGTTAGGACCAGGAAGCAGAGCTGCTGTCTTACACACTTCTCTGCGCTTTCTTTAGAACAGTCACCCACCCAAAACCCCATAGAGACTGTGTCTGTCCCCCGACCACCTAAACTATTTAATGAAATAAAAACAAGAGGAGTTCAACATAAAAATCTAATAAAAATTAAAACCAACTCCTCAGTAGCACAAAATAAGAGAATGAAATGTGGGCTGTTAAATATCAGGTCTCTGTCCTCTAAAGCTGTTCTAGTGAATGAATTAATATCAGATTATGATATTGATTTACTTTGTCTTACTGAGACCTGGTTGTCCCACGAGGAGTATGTTAGCCTAAATGAATCCACCCCCCCCAGTCATATTAATACTCACATTCCTCGAGGCACTGGCCGAGGAGGTGGAGTAGCAGCTATATATGATTCGAGCGTTTTAATGGACCCTAAACCTAAACTAAATTATAATTCATTTGAAAGCCTTGTTCTTAGTCTTTCTCACCCAAACTGGAAAACACTGCAGCCAGTTCTATTTGTTATAGTGTACCGCGCTCCTGGACCGTACTCTGATTTTATATCTGAATTTTCAGAGTTTTTATCAAGTTTAGTCCTTAAATCAGATAAAGTAATTATTGTAGGTGATTTTAATATTCATGTGGATGTTGACAATGACAGCCTTAGTAATGCATTTATATCATTAATAGACTCAATTGGCTTCTGTCAGAGTGTAAATAAACCAACTCATTGTTTTAATCACACTCTTGACCTTGTTTTATCATATGGCATTGATATTGAACATTTAATAGTCTTCCCACATAATCCTTTCCTATCTGACCATTATTTAATAACTTTTGAATTCATACTATTAGATTATAAGCCATTAGGCAAAACTTCCTACAGCAGATGTCTATCTGACAGTGCTGTAGCTAAATTTAAGGAGGAGATTCCTTCAGTGTTTAATTCAATGCCATGTCTGAATTTAACAGAATCCTATAACGACTTTAGTCCCTCCGAAATTGATAATCTTGTCGATAGTGCTACAGGCTCACTACGATCAACATCAGACTCTATCGCTCCTATAAATAGGAAATTATTAAAACATAGGAGACTAGCACCTTGGTATAACCACCAAACCCGCCAGTTAAAACAAATAGCTAGGAAATCTGAAAGGAAATGGCGCTCTTCCAAATTATCAGAATATCGCTCAAATTGGCAAGATAATCTTAAAACCTATACAAAGGCCCTCCGTAATGCCAGAGGAGCCTATTACTCAGCACTAATAGAAGAAAATAAGAGTAACCCTAGGTTCCTCTTCAGCACTGTAGCCAGGCTGACAGAGAGGAGCGCTCGGAGAGCGGGCGTACATTTTCCTGCTTTGCTGTCGTTGCCATGGAAACGAGCTGCGACAGAGCCCTCGCCGCCGTCACCAGAGGCGGGGAAACCCCAGTAGTGACCCATGGGGGGCTGCTGACGAAAGGGCTGAGAAGGAATCCCCGAGAGCTGCGCTGCAGCAGGGGATTGACCTGAAGCTACATTAGACGCATTAACAGCAGGGACTGTACATCGCCGTTTAGTGGGAGAAGGTCCACGAACGGGATGTCGTGACATGCCAGCGTTCCCGCTCTCTGATGAGAGGAGGGAGCCGCAGTTTACAGGCGGTAGTGTGTGTATATTGTCCACACGAAGCGCACGTGGGCGACGGTTATCGAAGCGCTGCTGGCGCGCAGGCTGCTGGCGCGCAGGCTGCTGACCCCAGTTGACATGGCGCCGGATGGACTCGGCTTTCATGGAGTCCACCATGTCCCGGAAACGAGGTCCGAACAGCCCATCCGCGTGGATCGGAGCCTCGAGGAGCTCCCGTCTCAACGCCTCGGGGATGTGGGTCTGGTCCAGCCACAGGCGGCGGTGCTGCAGCGTCGCCCAGGCGGCCTGCTGACCCAAGCAGGCGGCGGAGCAAGCACAGAGTGTGAGGGCGGCACTGGCTGCGTTGCTCAGCTCCGTGGCCAGTGCGGGGGGGCATCTCAGGCTCTGCTGCAATCTTCAGGGCGCTGGAGACCAGCAGGGCAACGTTGTTTGTCGCAGCATAGGCTTGGGCGGCAGCCTGAATGAATCCGGTCAGCCAGCCGCACGATGTACTGGTCCTTCGGTGAGGTCAGTAGGGGCCGCCTTCCGGCCGCCGTATTGACCCCAAAAAATGTGGTGAGGTTTCCCTCCAGCTGAGGTACAGCAGGGAAGCCTTGGTCGCTGAACCCAGCAACCTTGGTGATGGGCACATATGTGGAGATAGGCGCCTTCAGACTCTTCGGGTCTGCCGCTGCGCCCTCCCGATACTTCAGGATGGGCAGGAAGTGGGGCCCCACAGTGTCTCGCCTGCTCAGCTGAGGGACGGGGAAAACACCGCACATCTCATCTGACGGGGCGGTTTCCTGTGCCGGCGGGACCGGCAGGCCCCGGCGAGCTGCTGCATCTTTTATGATGTCTGGTAGCTCCTTCACCAGTCCGCCTATCGAAGGCAGGACGGTGGCCAGAGCAGCAGGGATCCCGGACTCCCCCGGGATGACACATCCACCCTCGGCGTGCTCCAGCTCTCCCGCCTGGGAGAGGGGAGGGACAGGGAACCCAGGATGGGAGCACTCAGTCCGAGTCCGAGACGTCAGGCGGGACCAGGATCTCCAGCGCCTCGTCCACGGAGTAGGTCTCTCGCAGAGGCCAGACGTCATCCCCTTCCACAGAGAAGAGGTCAACCCGCCGCTGCTTTTCTTCGAGAGGAAGGAGCGCGCAGTAATGGCAGGAGGATCTTGAGATCAAGGCCAAGCCGGCGTGCTGAGCTCCCAGGCAGGTCTCGCAGCGAGTGTGGAGGTCGGATCTGGAGACGCGGCCGTCCGGGCAGGAGGGACACGGCCTGTCGCCCGCCGAGGAGGTTGCCATCTCCGCCGACATGGTGGTAGTTTTGCTTCACTTGTTTTCTTAAGGCGAATCTCAATACTTGCAGCTTGGTGGCTGAAAGAAATGGGGAGCTGATTGTATGTTAACACGGATATTTATACACCGTGTAGGTCCCCCCCGTGGGTGGGCGTGGACTATTTTTTCTCAGTACTGCGCAGGTGTGCGAGGGATAAACCCAATAGCGATAGCTCTTAGAGGGCGTAGTCTATACGAAATAGAACGAGTCTTGGCCTTTGCTCTGACTTTACCGGCTCCCTTACCGCGACCAGACATCTTTATTGTTCGGTTTATTCGACTGAATGTAACTCAACGGCGGCGGAACGTGTTTATATAGCGGAGAGCTGCTCGTTCATTGGATGAGCTGAGCGTAAGTTCCATCGTCCAATCAGAACAGAGGACGCCGAGTTCCCGCGTTAACGACAAGGCTTCCGCTTTCACTTGTGCGTGAGTTTCAAAATAAAATCTGAACTTGATTTAAGCTTAAAAGCACCAGTGACCAAAAAAATAAAACAAAGTACAAGTAACCTATTCAAAACTTGATATTTTTATTTATTTTCCATTTTATATTTTTTATTGATAGTATTTCAATTTTTACACTTTCTCATTATTACACTTTCATATATTTTGGAAGATACCCACATAAAAAAAAAAAAAAAAAAAAAAAAAAAAAAAAAAAAAAAAAAAAAAAAAAAAAAGTTTAATTTTTTTTTTTTTTAAGGGGAAAAAATTAAATTTAAAGAACAACAAAAACAACAACAAAGAAATTATAAAATCAACAAGCAGGGTTCAATGGCACTAACAGTTATAACCCAATATGACTGATGGTCAGTTTTTCCATTACATAAATACATTTCAATACAGTTTTTTTTTCTTTTTAAACAAATACATTATATTGAATTATATCTTACTTAAGTCATGTTTACAGGTAACTAAGGTATAGTACGTCAAACCAGTATAATATTAATATTAACCCTTTACAACCTTATATATGTCCCACCAAAAGGAATTAACTACATTGTAAAGTCCCAAAAAATGTGATAATGATTGAAACTCACAGAAATGTCTCCAGCAGGTTCGGTCCTCTGACAATTGTTTTTTCTTTTCCACAAACATTTGTACTTACAGAACAAAGTGAGATTGGAAGATAAACAACAACAAATACATCAATACAAATATTCAACAAACATTTAGAGCAAACTGAAGTTTATATTTTCATACAGAGAAATGTCAAATATCATCATGAGCAGTGATAGCCTCCATGGTTAAACAGACACAGGAAGGAGCTCCAACTAAAGAAACTCAAACATTTACAGAACAAATAATGAGAAGATGTCAAAGTACCGCCCACAATGTTTGATTGACGGGTGATCAATCAGCTTTCCACAACAAAAACATGATGTTTATGGATTAAACTTAGATGACTTCTGATTATCTGAGTTTACAGAACTCAGCTTCGCCTACAAAATCTGAAAACCAAAGTCCAGAATAAAACCCAAGTCCAGCATAGAGAGGCTGAGTGAATGTGGTCTGGACTCTGTGGAGGAGAGTCATGGTTTCAGAGACGCTGTAGAAGGACAGAATACCTGCACTGTGATCCAGATACACTCCAACTCTGGAGGACAGAGGACCTGAGACAGGAGTTTGGACATTGTTGTACCAAAACGTATAACTGTTGTTGTTACAACTTAACATCCAAGATTTGTCATTGTATCCAAAAACACATTCATTTGACCATCCTCCTCTGGAGATATTCTTGTACACAACTGCTACACAAACTCCTCTCCCTCTCCACTCCACCTCCCAGTAACAGCTTCCAGTCAGACTCTCGCTACTCAGGACCTGCTCCCATCCAGTGAATCTGTCTGGGTGACTAGAATAAGACTGTTGTTGATTCATTAATGTTGCTTTTCTGTTCCCCTCAGACAATACCAGCCGTGTGTTTGCTGCGTTTGGATCCAATGTGATTTCATGTGAATATTTTAAGAATTCAGCTCTGGTCTTGGGCTCTGGTTGTGGCAGTAAAACATCCACTTCAGTCACTGTCAGTGAGACGTTTGTCCATTTCTCTCTCAGAACGTCCTGTAGTTTATCTCTGAGCTCTGAAACAGCCGCTGTCACATCCTCAAAGTACCTCAGAGGACGGATATTGATGCTGGATGTAGATTCACTGAGTGCTGACAGTGAGGGGTAGTTGTGTAGAAACTGGTTGTGGTCCTCTGTGTGTGACAGCTTCTTCATCTCAGCATCTTTCCTCTTCAGCTCAGTGATCTCCTGCTCCATCTTCTCCTGAAGCTCTTTGACTCGACTCACTTCAGTTTCCTGCTGGGATCTGACCTGCTGCTTCACATCAGAGCTTCTTTTCTGGATGAGAAGGATCAGCTCAGTGAAGATCTTCTCACTGTCCTCCACTGCTTCATCAGCAGAGCGATTGATAGCCTCCACCTGCTGTTGAAGCTCCTTCACATCTTTCTCTCTGTCCTGGATTCTCTGCTGGATGTTTTGTCGACTCACCTCGAGCTCTCTCTGCCTCTCAGTCCTTTCTGCTGCAGCTGAGACTGTGTCGTGGCCTTTATGTTCCTCCACAGAGCAGAGATAACAGATACACTGCTGATCAGTACGGCAGAACATCTTCATCGCCTCATCATGACGAGAGCAGATGTTCTCCTGGAGCTTCTTGGAGGGGTCCACCAGCTTGTGTTTCTTTAATGGAGCTGCATCAAAGTGAGGTTGAAGGTGTTTCTCACAGTAAGAAACCAAACAGACCAGACAGGACTTGAAGGCTTTCAGTTTTCTCCCAGTGCAGACATCACAGGACACATCTTCAGGTCCAGCATAGCAGAGATCAGCAGGAGCAGCTTGGAGTCCAGTCTTCTTCAGTTCTTCCACTAAAACTGCTAACATGGTGTTTTTCACCAGGACAGGCCTCGGTGTGAAGGTCTGCCTACACTGAGGGCAGCTGTGGATTTCCTTCTCATCTTCTCCATCCCAGAAGCTTTTAATACAGTTCATGCAGTAGCTGTGTCCACAGGGAATAGTCACCGGATCCTTCAGTAGATCCAGACAGATCGAACAAGAGAAGGTTTCTCGGTCCAGCTGAACTCCTTGCTGCGCCATTTCACCTCGCAGTCACAACGAGTGTCTGAGTTTCACTTCTTTATAAATGAAACTAGTTTGATCTCTGATCTAAACAGCATGTGTTTCTGCAGCGAATGGGGCCTGTCGGCTCTTTCACGTCACCACATGTTGGTTACACCCATCCTTCAAACTGTAGATCTAAAGGGGAGGGAACAAGGAAATATGTGGACAGAGTGAAGCTCGCTGTGTTTGAGAGCAGGAAGAAGAGGGAGGAGATATCAAACTGTGATTCAGTCCAGGAAGAGGAGCCACTGTGTTGATTTGTCTGTTTTAAATCAACTTTGAGAGTTTCACAATAAAGTGCATCAAGTGTCAAAGTGCATCAGAAAACATGAATAAAGTGCTCATGAACCAGAGTACAAAGGAGTTGGAGGTCTTAAAAATATGTTTTCTTCCCCATTTATTTTACAGATTTTAAAAACACATTGATAACTCATTGAAATTACATAAACGGTCTGAATTTCCATGCTAATTTATAAAGTCAGTCATTTTTCCCTACATTAAAAGAACAATTTAAAATTAATTTGCAAATTTCTTTTGTGGATATCAACTGATTAATTAAAACTTAAATTCCTGTTTAATATTATCAATACATTTCTATTATGTGAAATTTTAACAGTAACGAAATTTGTATTCTATATATTTACATGGATTGTTTAATTGACAGATATCATATATTGACAGTTTTAAAACAAATCAAACATTTAAGAGTACAAGAATTTTTAACTGTCAGTTTTAATCACTAAAAGCAATAATTATCTCACTTTAATCAGCAATGTTCAAAGTTGCTATTGATTTTATTAGTTTAATAGAAATAGCAACTAATTTTACAGTATATGTGTAATCAGATATTTAATATAATAAAAAAATCCTGGAGAAACTGATATAGTTAATAACCTTCAGTATAAAGATAAATATAATATAGAACAGTGACTGTCGCCACCTTGTGGTCAAAATAAATACTGTACCTTCAATTTCAGATCAATACCCATTGGCAGCATTAATCTATAATATAACGCACAGTTAAATGAAATCGATCCTTTATGAGTGTTTGTATTACTACAATCTTTTATAACACTATGAATCACCCAGAATAAAAACGATGGGACTATTTTACCGCACAGAGAATTAATGATCAACTGTTCAATAGATTAAAATATTTTCATTATATAATTATCACATTAATATAAATGAAACCAGCTCCACAGCTTTGTGTAAACATTAATCTTCCAGGACTTTGAGCTCTTGAGTTGAAGCGGTGTGTGGCTCTTAAAAGAGCCGTTGTGTTGCTGTTAACAGCGGAGGGTTTTTACTTGGAGCTGGTGTACTTGGTCACGGCCTTGGTGCCCTCGGACACGGCGTGCTTGGCCAGCTCCCCGGGCAGCAGCAGGCGGACGGCGGTCTGGATCTCCCTGGAGGTGATGGTGGAGCGCTTGTTGTAGTGAGCCAGACGGGAGGACTCACCGGCGATGCGCTCGAAGATGTCGCTCACGAACGAGTTCATGATGCCCATGGCCTTGGAGGAGATCCCGGTGTCGGGGTGGACCTGCTTCAGGACCTTGTACACGTAGATGGCGTAGCTCTCCTTCCTGCTCCTCCTTCTCTTCTTGCCGCTCTTGGTGACCTTAGACACGGCTTTCTTTGAGCCTTTCTTCGGGGCCTTGGCGGGTTCAGGCATGTTCTCTCTCTCAGTCAGACTTCCTCAAACGGATAAACTCACAGCGAGTGAACTCCCTGTTTATATGCGCTCGATGCAAATGTCACTGTGCTGTTGCTCGCACACGATTGGCTGAGCGGTCGCGTTCGAAACTGAGCATGCGCAGATACAAAGTAACCGCCATAAAATTTAAATGTGAAACTCAGAGGAAATGAATAATTACTGATAGTTTTTATAAGAGTTTGTAGTTAAAAACATTTTGTTATTAATGTGTCATGCTGTAATGGTAGTTTGAAGTTTTTTTTTTACTTTTTACCACACAAGAAATAACTTAATTAATTAATTAATTAAGAGTTATTTTGTATGTAAAATTTGAACAATAGAAAGTAACATTAACATCAGCTGGTAAATTTATGTATTAATGAACATATCAATGAAACACTGAGAAATACCTGATTTATTGTAATCTGGGTAAAATAGATCAACCACAGCTAATTCCAGTCTCAATCAGAGACATAGCCAGGTGAGGAAGTTCCTTCAATTACATACACAATGCAGTATAAAGGGGACTTTCTGGACTGAGGTTATTCAATGTGACAGACAGATGAGGAGAGAAAGAAAGAATAACGTCTGGACAAGGACGAGGAATAGTTGGATGGGAGAGGAAGAGGGCCAGGTCAAAGTCTGCCCTCTGCTGGTCCAACCATTGGTTCAACTGTAGTTTAAGTTTTGAGCAACACACCATAACAATCAAGTTTTTGTCATTTTAGAAATATTTAAAAATCCAATTTCAACTTCTGAAGACACATCTTACATGCCTTCATCTCATCAGCTTAATGTCATTGGACCCTGAACTTTTTAAATAGTTTTTGTGGTTCTTTTTGTTGTTTGTTTGTTTGTTTGTTTTTAGGTTGTAGGCTCATAGAGCTCTTAATTAAAACAAACTGCAGTTTTATTATAAAATAAGACTTTAAAGGGTGGCAGAAATATCTACAGATTTGATTACAAAAAAAATAATTACAAACTGATCCTGGACTCTGGGTTTCTTTCCATTTATTCCCATCGTGGTCTCCTCAATGGATCGCTGGACGAGAGCTTTGTTATCTGCAACCTGTAGATTTCACACTCACAGAATAAAACCAGATAATAGATCAAAATAAAATACAAACAGGCTCTTTGAATATTATAACAAAAACTGTCTGCATTGAACTATAAACTGCTGTCCCCATTGGTGAAGACAAGGAGGACAAAATTCACAGACATGAAAATATAAAATGAGGCTTCAACTGTTTGAGTTAGAAAATCAGAAAATCTAAAGTCAGACTGAAATGGATGGTTTAACTAATCATTTAATTTCATACAAAAACTCATTTGGTGCTAAACTAAATCACGACAAAGGTGAAGGAGTTTGGAGAGGAGAGGAGAGAGACAGACAAAACATTAATATTGAAATCAAAGAGGAAATCCAAATACTCTGAAAATCTGCAACAAAGACTGCAGTAACAGAAATTGGGAAGATAAACTGTGTGAAATCAAAGAAGAAGACAAGAAATGGGAAAAAAAAATATATCGATAACATCGTCAAAACCTTTATCCTTTATCCTAACACCTTTCCTCTAAATAACAAAACAATAATCCAGTTTAATAAAACAACTCGAGAGGTCACAAGAAGAGATTTGTTATTTAAAAGTAAAGAATATGGAGGGTTAGGGGCAATAGAGCTTCCGGTCAAGACATCCTCCTCTCAACCACAGTTACCAACCTCGGTGTGAAGACCCACAACTGACCTTTGCAAACACATCAAACATCTGTACAAAACCTGCTTTTTCCATATCAAGAACATTTCCAACCTCCGCCCCTTCCTCAGTTTCTCTGACGCAGAAAAACTAGTCCACGCCTTAATCTCCTCCAGGCTTGACTACAGTAACAGCCTGCTCATCGGTATACCTAATAAACACCTTCAGAAACTTCAATTCATTCAGAACTGTGCTGCCCGTACTCTGATGAAAACCCGCAAATACGACCACACCACCCCCATTCTTCAGAACCTCCACTGGCTCCCCATAACCTCAAGAATCCAATACAAGATCGCCCTCATCACCCACCTTTGCATCTACAGCAACGCCCCGCAATACCTCAAAGACCTCCTTACCCCTCACTCATCCACCCGTAACCTCCGGTCCCAAAGCACAAACCTCCTCCATCAGCCCCGCTCAAGAGTCTGCACCATGGGAGACCGAGCCTTCTGCTCCGCTGCCCCTCACATCTGGAACTCCCTACCTGAACATCTGCGAAAACCCCAATCTGTGGACACTTTCAAAAAAGGGCTTAAAACTTTTTTGTTCAGGCAGGCGTTCTTTTAGTTGTCCTTGGATTTTTCTAATATCACTCTGCACTTCAACTCCTCTTTTAGCTGTTTTTCTTAATGTATTTTATCACTTGTATTATTATTGGTTGCTGATTTTAATGTGTTATTGCCCTTAGTGTTTTTTGGTTTCTGTAGCACTTTGAGATTCTTTTATGAAAAGTGCTTTACAAATAAAATGTATTATTATTAAGAAAATGTTTTTTTATTTTTATTTTCCAAATCAGTCGCCGAAGTTCTTCTAAATTTTCCGGCATATGTCCTCCTCTTTTCCAACTTGAGCTTTACAGCAGACCTCGCCGCTTCCGTGGACTAAGTGCTCGCTGCGTAAAAGGCGTCAGGGGTCTGCGGCGATGTTGGCAACCCACCCGACCCGTCTTGAAATACGAACCGAAGAACGCACGCGCGAGTCGGAGGGTGAAGCAAAACCCCGTGGTGCAATGAAAGTTTGAAACTAGTTTCAAAGTCGAGATCTTGAAAATGCTTTTTTTTTTTTTTCTCGTCACTTTTTTTTTTTTCTCATGTCACCTCGGGGGCTCCATACATTACCTGTGAAATTACCAAAATTATTGCTTTTAGTCATTAAAATTGTATTTTGATGGTTAAAAATTATTTTACTCTATTTAAAAAAAGATATGTTTTTGTCATTTGTTTGAAAAATTGTCAATATCTGTGAATATATGATATCTGTCAATTAAAAAAACAAATCCACGTAAAATTACAGAACACACAATTTCTTAACTGTTAATTTTCATAAATTTCTCATAATTTTAGAAATGTATTAACAACATTAAACTGAAATGTAACAGTTTAAATGAATAAATAATCAATAAATATCTACAAAAGAAATGATAGATTTGGAAATTAATTTAAAATTGTCCTTTTTATGTGGCGAAAAAAAATCACTCTCTGTAGAAATTAGCATGTAAATTCAGGTTATTAATGTAATGTTATTAGTTATTCATGTGTTTTTAAAAAAGTGTAAAATAAATGAGGAAGAAAGTATATTTTTAAGACCTCCAACTCCTTTGTACTCTGGTTCATGAGCACTTTATTCATGTTTTCTGATGCACTTTGACACTTGATGCACTTTATTGTGAAACTCTTGTAATATTCTCATATGAAATCACAATAAAATTTATTTAAAACAAAAACAAATCAACACAGTGGCTCCTCTTCCTGGACTGAATCACAGTTTGATAACTCCTCCCTCTTCTTCCTGCTCTCAAACACAGCGAGCTTCACTCTGTCCACATATTTCCTTGTTCCCTCCCCTTTAGATCTACAGTTTGAAGGATGGGTGTAACCAACATGTGGTGACGTGAAAGAGCCGACAGGCCCCATTCGCTGCAGAAACACATGCTGTTTAGATCAGAGATCAAACTAGTTTCATTTATAAGGAAGTGAAACTCAGACAGTCATTGTGACTGAGAGGTGAAATGGCGCAGCAAGGAGTTCAGCTGGACCGAGAAACCTTCTCTTGTTTGATCTGTCTGGATCTACTAAAGGATCCGGTGGCTATTCCCTGTGGACACAGCTACTGCATGAACTGTATTAAAAGCTTCTGGGATGGAGAAGATGAGAAGGAAATCCACAGCTGCCCTCAGTGTAGGCAGACCTTCACACCGAGGCCTGTCCTGGTTAAAAACACCATGTTAGCAGTTTTAGTGGAGGAACTGAAGAAGACTGGACTCCAAGCTGCTCCTGCTGATCTCTGCTATGCTGGACCTGAAGATGTGTCCTGTGATGTCTGCACTGGGAGAAAACTGAAAGCCTTCAAGTCCTGTCTGGTCTGTCTGATCTCATTCTGTGAGAAACACCTCCAGCCTCACTTTGAATCACCTGCCTATGAAAAACACAAGCTGGTGGACCCCTCCAAGAAGCTCCAGGAGAACATCTGTTCTCGTCATGATGAGGTGATGAAGATGTTCTGCCGTACTGATCAGCAGTGTATCTGTTATCTCTGCCCTGTGGATGAACATAAAGGCCACGACACAGTCTCAGCTGCAGCAGAAAGGACTGAGAGGCAGAGAGAGCTCGAGGTGAGTCGACAAAACATCCAGCAGAGAATCCAGGACAGAGAGAAAGATGTGAAGGAGCTTCAAAAGGAGGTGGAGGCTATCAATCGCTCTGCTGATAAAGCAGTGGAGGACAGTGAGAAGATCTTCACTGAGCTGATCCGTCTCATGGAGAAAAGAAGCTCTGATGTGAAGCAGCAGGTCAGATCCCAGCAGGAAACTGAAGTGAGTCGAGTCAAAGAGCTTCAGGAGAAGATGGAGCAGGAGATCACTGAGCTGAAGAGGAAAGACGCTGAGATGAAGAAGCTGTCACACACAGAGGACCACAACCAGTTTCTACACAACTACCCCTCACTGTCAGCACTCAGTGAATCTACATCCAGCATCAATATCCGTCCTCTGAGGTACTTTGAGGATGTGACAGTGGCTGTTTCAGAGCTCAGAGATAAACTACAGGACGTTCTGAGAGAGAAATCAACGAACATTTCAGTAATCCGCAAATTCTACCCAGCACTACGGCAAAACCATCCGGCTCGGCCGCTGTCTGTGTCCCTTCTACACAATGCACAAAATTCCACCAGAATCCCAGCTGTACGTCCCAAAAGGGACCAAATAGCATCCGTCCAACAATCACTTTTGAGTAGAATAATTAAATCCCAACAGAGACTATGTGACAGTGACAGCGACTGAAGTAGATTGTTTTTACTTACTCCAATTCAGAGCCCAAGGGCAGAGTTGGATTCTTAAAATATTCATGTTAAATTCATGTTAAATCACACATCACAAAAAATAAACAACAATGAGTCAATAACTGTTTTTTCTAGTCACGCAGACGTATTTACTACATGTTGTTTGCAGGTCCATGGATACACTGTTGAGTTCTATATATTGCTATGAAAATATAAACTTCTTTTTGCTCTAAATGTTTGTTGAATATTTATAATGATGTATTTGTTGTTGTTTATCTTCCACTTTGTGTTTCTTTACAGGGAAAGCTATTAGATATTTTGTTCTTAATATTGTTTAACTTTGTATAAAATCTATTAAAACTGTTGGAAGACCAAATGTTGTTATTGTTCAAATCAACATACAAATGAGGTTCTATGAGGTATAAAACTGTAATTATCATGATCATAATCAATAAGGAGATCATTTATTATTGTCTTTTACATTGCTGAGATTTTGATCAAACACATTGATTGTGTGGATGAAGTGAATCTGAGTCACTGAACAGACTTTACTGATGGATGTGTGAACATACTGAAGGTTTAAATCATGAATAAACATAAATAAAGTATTTTCTTCTTGTCTTCATTCCAGAGTCTCGTACAGAGCTGATGTTGAAAATGTGAAACTAATATGAGAGCATTTATCAGTCGGTCTCTGTCCTTTCAACTTTACAAACTAAAGAGTTTTCTATCACTTGTTGATTTTTACAACCAAGATTTTGTTCCTGAACTGAATCAATAAAGATATTTTACTACACAGACTGAAAACCCTGGACAAATAGTCAGAATAGAAGTCCTGTGTGAGTCCTGAGCTTATATATACTGTCAATGGTCCTGACACACATAAGACAACAGATACTGAGTAGTTGTGGATCAATGGATCTGGATTCAAACTTCTTGTGACTCATTTAGTCCAGGATGTAATCTGTCAGTCCACAAACCAGCTGAAGAGTTTTCCTCAATTGTAAACAAATAAATGCATCTAAACCAGTCATGATTATGTTTCCTGACAACTGTGATTGATTTGTTGCACCATCACAGGTAAAGTTGCAGGGTTAACGGGTTAACTGACACTGGACTATAAACGAGGAACCAAAGTTTAAATCCACAGTGCCGCTCCTCGTCCTGGCATGTGGAAAAGATTAATAACCGCTCCCTCTTCATGTCGCTGTCAAACAAAGCGAGCTCCAGTCTGTCCTCAACTTTATTCAGATCTACAGTTTGAAGATGTGTGTAACTAATATCTGGTGATGCTGACAGGCCACATTCACTGCAGGAACATGTGTTGTGATTAGAACCTTTATAATTCATACATCATGGTCAGTGGTGATGAACTTCAGTAAGCCAGTGCTCATTTAGGAAGAGTAGAAATTGTTCATTTTCCTGGTTGTAGTTTGGTTTAATAATAATCTGTCTTAAACGTACAGAAAAGCACTGTTATCTAATTTAAATCTGAATTTTAAATTAAAGAACTAATAAGTCATTACCTGTCAAATTACAGAAATGATTGTTTTTAGTTATTAAAACTGTATTTTGACAGTTAAAAATTATTTTACACTATTTAACATTTTTTAATGTTTTTGTCATTTGGTCAAAAAGTAAAATTACAGAACACACATTTCTTTTACTGTTAATTTTCCCAAATTTCACATAATTTTAGAAATTTATTAACAGTATTAAACTGAAATTTAACAGTTTAATTGAATAAATAATCTGTAAATATCTACAGAAGAAACGATAGATTTGCAAATTAATTTTAAATTGTCCCTTTTACGTGGGAAAAAAATACTTCCTGCATAAATTAGGATGTCAATTCAGTATATTTGTGTAATTTAATGAGTTATCAATGTGTTTTTAAAAATGTGTAAAATAAATAGGTAAGAAAACATATTTTTAAGACCTCCAGAATCAGAATTATTGCCAAGTGAGTTTTTTTTACACCTTTGTCTTGGTGCATAAAATATACAAATCACACAAAAAAATATTAAAATATAATTAAATAAAGATAAGAAAGATAAGAAAAGTGTACAGAAAAACAGAAGTTCATTAAATGTTAAATGTCCCATAAAAGTACCAGTGTTGGTACTCACAAGCTCTCTCAATATGTTTAAAAAGAAATTAATCTTTAATTAATTGTCTTTTTATTCTGGCTTTTACTTTGAGTATATGTTAAATCCTTGCAACTTTGAGGTTTTACTAATAGTTTTTTTACATTATTTGCACTGGTGCTTTGTTTTATATCAACTTTTACATCTTATTTCTTCTATTGCATTTATTGTTTTTATGTGTTGTTTCAGTTTGATATGTGAATTACTTTTGGCTGCATGTTTGTATGAAAGGTGCTTCATAAATAAAGTTTTATTTGTTTTTCACATTACCTTTTACACTTTTTATTTAATTTTTAATTATAATATTATTATTATTAGGTTCACCATTCATTATTTGGTTAAAGTGAGAATCAATTAGTTTGTGATATATTCTAATTTAGGCATAACATTGGTTAAAACTTAGTTGCTGTGGCTATTAACTATTGACCTTTAATGTACATTTGACAGGCTGTTCACAAAATAGATAAAAACTTTACTGTCAGTGAGTTTAAGGACTAAGAATTGCAGTTTATTATCTAACCAGAAGTGCAAAAGAAGCAGTAAAGTGCAGAATAATGTACATTTGTATAATATAAAATAGAATAAACAGTAATGTGTTAAAATATATACAATGTGAACATTATAGTAACAGCTTGAGGTATAAAAACACAATGTGTACTGTAGATCAGATATAAACACTGAATGCACATGATATATATTATATGATATAATAATAATAGGATATATTATTTATATAATAATGCAGTCATTTGTGGAGAAAACATTATGTAGGGTTTTAGGGTTTAGAGATTTCTGTTCACTCCTGGCAAGAATAATAATCTCACAGTTGTGTATTTATGTTTTTTATTTTACGTGTTTAGAACAAACTGTGTCTGAAGTGAAGCTGTAACATCATTAAACAGACTTAAACAATGTTGTCTGTTAAAGTTAAAGTTATTCTTCTGGTTTTAAACTAATCCACTGTTTTTGTTCCAGAAGTACTTTTAAAATTATTTTTATAGTCATGAAAATATCCAGATAAAATGCTGAATTCAATTAAATAAAGATAAGATTCTTAATATTTTGGTTTCAAGTATTTTCACCCGGTTTAATCTGATATTTTCAAAATCCTATTAACTACCTGACAGCTCTTCTCTGCCATCTTTCCCACGGGACCTGAATGCACCATCGGTGTTACAGACACCAGATGGCGCCTTCATCCTGCTGTAGTGGAAGGTGAAAAGCTTCATATATTATATATTACATATTATATATTGTGTTAGATATTGTATTATATATTTTATACTGTTATTATTATTATTTGGCTGTATCGCTGCCCACTAGATGGCGCTCTGAGGCCAACCAGTGGTTGAAAGTGTCTGTTATAGACATTTATTATAAGTCATAGAGTAGAAACTCTCTAATTGTCCTTTTAAGTAAAGAAAAGCAGGAATAGTTAGTTTTCCTGGTGATAGTTCGGCTGTGTTTACTTCACACACGTCCTTCAATTTAAATGTATAAAAATCAATTAATCAATCAATTATCAGTTTTAGCACAGTTTCTGTGTATTTTCTGCCAATTTTAGTTTGTTCTGCCAGCTACTGAACTTCAGGTTGATTTTCCCTGTAACTCACTAAAATCACATAATTGTCTTATACAATATATTTTTTTCTATAATAATATATAAATCATTCATTAGAGGTTTAATGGTGTGAAACTAAATGGACAAACTGCGAATATAATGGAAAACAGAAACATTGCATCTAATGGAATTATTAAAAACTTCATTGTTGTATTGATAAAAGTTTTGTTTCTTGTTTTTCTTTGGCATATAAAAGTTTGGGAACCCCTTGCCCAGAGCAGTGGTTCCCAATCTGCGGGTCTGGACCCCCACTATGGGTCACCAAAGCTTCATAAGGGGTCACAAGGCCTTCTTGATTATAAATGATGTAAGAAAACTACACACAGTAGGACAATATCTCAGTATTTGGTTCACTTCTGTGAAGAAACGTAGAGTAAATTGTCCAATAGAGCAATGGTTGAGTCTGTATGTTTGTTATAATAATAAGAAATACACAATTCAGACAGAGAATTATATAAAAAGTTCTTTAAACAGGAAATAATCTGTTAAAAATTCATCCAATTCACTTGTTTTTACACAAACTTCCTGCAGTTACTGAGTTCACTGTTTGGGTTCATTGTACAGTTTTAATATGATATAAAATATACATCAAATATGTCAGTTTACTGTACCAACAAAAGAAGAAAGAAATAATAAACTTTAGCTTCAAAGTGGCTTTTTTGATAGAGTTGTTTGATTTTCTGTTTTAGTAGACGAGTAAACGAGTGCGACCGTTTTACAGCTTTGTGTTAGAAAGTCTTACAGGAAGTAACATATTTATTCTTCTCCGTAGCAGGAAACAACGGCAGCTCGCCTGCTCACACAGGATCTGGTATTCCAGATAAACAGTAAACCATGTTCTGGATCCATATCTGATCGGCACTGTTTGACAGTGTGATCTGAGTTTGGTGCGTTGAGCTGGACGGACTCACTGAGAATGAGCTGTCAATCACAAGGTAGCCCCGCCCTAAAGCATAGCCTGCTTTATGGTCTGTTTTACTCTAAATGGGACCATCAGTTACTAAATGAACATCATGCTGTATGGAAGAAGACTGAAACTAGAGACTGAGACCAGAAACTCATCAGGAAACTGTTTACTGAGCTCATAAATCAACTGAGAAGTCGGCTCATTTCTCCATAAGACTGAATGGTAATGGAGCTGCCCCCTGCTGGTTGTTACACAGAATGCAGGTTTAAGACACTTCACAGACCCAGAAGCTCTGTCTATTATATATACTATCAATGAGGGGTACCTACAGCGTCATAATGTGAAGTATAGAGCCAACCTGACAACTTGGGAGTGAGAACAACTTTTGCGCCCCCAAGTGGTCATGTGCATCTGGGTCAGTAATGGGAAAGTAAAGATGATGGGACGACTGCTGCTGCTGCCAGCAACAGAGACGAGGAAGATGATAATGATGAGGATGGTTTTAATGAAACGCCACCGCAGTGATGAAAATGAGGTGATGCGGTGGAGGTGTATCAAGGTGTTATTGGGGGATATTTTAAAACAGTTTAAGTAGGTGCTTCTTTTTCCGGAGCTTTTACTGTATCGATTTCTGTCGGGATGTTACGGAAGCGTATTGCATTCACTTGAAAATTTATTTTTTGGTTTGTTTTTCGGAATAATTTTTTCCAATTTTCTGAATAATTTTTTTTCTTCTGTCTTTCGGACTAATCTGAGTTTAGAGAGCATTTGAAACAATAGACGCATTCATTCCTTTATTGAGAGCTCAATTTAACGGAAACAAACATGAGTGGCTTGTTTAGTTCAATCAAGTTTTACTTTTATCTGGGTTTAAGACTTTAAGAATTTATTGAGGAAAGGAAAATTTGCCAGGAACATGTTTATTCAAAGAAA